TTATATACATTTACATACATTACTTTTGTTCTCAAATACCCAGGAAAGAATAATGCAGAACAATAAAGTCAGTCAGATTCAACGTAGAACTTCGTACGTAAGTACATCTGTTCATGTCGCCATACTGCATCAGAACAGAGATGTAATTGTCAATTCGAATCCAATAATAGAAGAGGTAGTAAAGGTATTAGAAGTAATCAGAGAGGTAAGGATTAGAAGATATTATTATTCAAGAAGTATGATTCAGTGAGAAAACTTTAGAAAGTCAAAACTAGAGGTGTTGAAGAATCCAGAAGATTAGGCGCCATTGCGAACGATTTTGAGCCATGTCATTCAGGGTCTCTAACCATCGATTATTATCACCTCGCGGACGTTGTCGTTAATAATCTCACACTTTCGAAACAATGTCAAACGTCATTTATCTTGGTCTAAGTTTTTTCTTCTGATCTAACATCGAATAAAATTCTCCGTTCCAACTCATTATATAATGAGGCTTCATGATATTTGTATTACTCAACATATGCATTTGCACATTTGAAATCATCAATCAATTTATTGTTAGATCACTATTAAAAACCTAGAAGCACTCGACGGCCGTTTCGCCTTGGTATGGGACTCATCATCAGTGCGCACCTTCGATATTGTGCGCGAACGCCCAACCATCAGACCACGGCCAAGGTTCGAACCCTGCGAGGAGCAGGAGTCGTGGATGTGCACTGCTGATGAGTCCCAGAACGAAATGGCCATCCAATGCTTCCAGGTTTCTAATCTTGGCCTAACCATGATTGATTGATGATTTCAAATGTGTGAGAACACAAACCTCCAAACCTCTGCCCCAATATATGCACTTACGATTGGTTAATTATTTCACATTACCTATATTGTTTCTTTACTGTTCCTCAATTATTTTTTCCATTTCAAATGTTTCGTCTCATTCTTTTTTCTTTCCTTTTCGTCTTCATTATCATCTCATAAACTAGTTCTGGTGTTCGATGGAGTCAGGTAAAACGTGGTGATCGTTTGAAACCATTACAAATGGTACTCAATGAAAATTTAGAACGTGCTTATACAGATTATGTGAATGCATCGAATGATACAGATAAGGCTGCTTTAAGTATTGTCAAACTGGCCAATACAACACATCAACCAATTGAAGTGGATTTCAATCGAATGATGATTTTAAAACCGGATCAATATGAAATACGTCGTGCATTTGATCCAGGTGTATTTCTGCAGTATAAATCATCAATTAGTCAAATGCAATTACATGGCAAATTGTTTCAATTACAGGTTAGTGAGTATAATTTTTTTGTATTGTTTAAAAAACTTCGATTTTTACCGATAAACATTGACCGATGGTAACCCGACCGTAGCTGCTACCGTGACGTGGTGGTCGGGCTTGGCTGTCGTGATGACCCAACCGAGCCACATTGGCTGCAACATATGTTCCTGAAGGTTCTGCCATACCAGGCAGGTCGATTGGAGAACGATGAGACTAAAAACAGTTACTCAAAGTCTGAGGACGAAGTCGTACTGCTGACTGACTGCAGAGGGGTGTGACAGCAGTAAGTTGTTTCCCTCGGACAACCACCATCTGCAGTGATGCTGCCTTCTCACAAGGAAGGAAGGGTTAGAAAAGGTCAACCATAAAAATGTCACACCTCACCCTACCTCACGGATTTCCGTCTCCTTGGGTAAGGGTGCCCACTAAGGGCTTTCAAGAGCGGAGCTAGCACTCAAAAAGCCTTTCATCAAAGGGCCGTGCGTGACCGACGTCAAGCAGTTGTCCGTTGGACTCTGCAGTCAGGCTCCCCGGTCTCCAAGACCAACACTAATCTATCTTCCTTTTGAGGTCCCTGAAGAACCAACCTTCCACAGTGTGGGCATCCGGGAAGTGACAACTGCCCTGATACCGGTAACAGCACACGAGACCAAATTGGTCACAATCAAATCTCACTGAATCATACTTCTTGAATAATATCTTCTAACCCTAACCTCTCCGGTTACTTCTAATACCTTTATTACCCCTTCTACTATTGGTTTTGAATTGACAATTACATCTTTGTGCTGATAAGGTATGGCAATATGAACTTGTGTACTTACGTACGAAGTTCTACGTTACATCTGACTGACTGACTGACGGTAAACCATTGATAAAAACTAATTTTGAGTTCATCACACTTGATGGAGGATCTTTGAAAGATATAGAAACCTTTACACACTTATCCTGGGCATCACTGTTGATAAACAAGGTGGATCGGACACAAATGTGACCATATGGATTAGCAAAGCTAGGATAATGTTTTTAAAATCCGAGAACATCTTGGAACTCAAAAACAACTATCAACAAACACGAAAGTCTCAATTTTCACATACAAACGTCAAGACCGCTCTACTGTATGGATCGGAACCTTGAAAAACCACAAAAGCCCCTTACCCGGAAGATACAATCGGGCGAGAAAAAACCAGATTTTAGCCGAGGGAAAAAACTAGGAAAAAGTGCTCATGTGGAATGGGAAACATACTGTGAAAATGACTGAACTACATCACAAGACCAGTCTTAACTTGAGATCTTAAAGATGAGAGGAAAAGAGAAAGACTAAAGAATACACTATGATGAGAATCGGAATCTGACGTGAACAGAATGAATAGTAATTGTTTAGAACTGGAAAGAAATGCTCAGGATAGAATAGGTTGGAGAATGCTGGTCGGCGACCTATGCTCCATTGAGGGTAACAGGCCTAAGTCAGTGAGTGAGTAAGTAAGTAAATAATTAGTTAACTATTTTTTCTTACGGAGTATCTCTAGCTATACAACATGAAATACCAATGTAACAGTAAACACATAATGTAAATACTCTTGAATAAAGTATGTACTATATCCCTAAATCTAAATTGCAACCATTAAGGAAAAACTAAATCAATCCAAAGATTTATTCCTACTCTAGTAAACCTATAATACAGGAAAAAAGGTGTTTTTATTGTTTTTGTTTTGTTGTAGTGTGTCCTTAAGAAACTGTCATTCAAGATTTAAATTACATAACACATGACCTAAATGTTAGAATTGTGAGCTAAACTTTGAGAAGTAATTTATTTCCCACAGTTTTATGTTTAATCGCAAAACTATTCAGGATTACTGAAGCATGGAGTCTTCAGTTTCTATAATGATCCATTAATAGAAAAGTAAAGCAAGTTGAGAAATTCCATAAATAAACCAATCAATATATTCAAAACTGAACAGGCTGACACTGTTATACTACTGAATAACTGATGCGTTAATCATTTAGGAAGTTTACTTTTTCACTCGTAGGAACTTGGCTTTCATCATCAGACGTCATAACTCTTCTGAATGAAGACCTTCTAACTCCCACGGCAGAGTTAAAATAGTTTGAATTATTTTCTTTCTGGTTAGCGTCATTTTACCGAGTTAGTTTTCTATGGGATGGGTTCGCCAAACCCACGCCCAACCTTCCTTCTTTATCTGGGCTTGGGGCCAGCAGTAGCCCTAGAGAGGCTCCAGGCGGAGTTTTGTAAGTATCAGATCACTGATTATTTGATGTGACTACAAGTGGTGGGGCATTAAATATATTTGTATTCTAATGACTCTTTATTGATTAAAACCTAGGTCCAATGACTCATATTGTTGATAGCCGTTAATCATGGAACCATTGAACTTACAAACCTACTTACGCCTGTTACCCCAAGTGGAATATAGGCCGCCAACCATTTCTGGTTAGCGTTTCTTTAGCGAGTTGGCTATCTATGGGGTCGGGTTGCTAACCCCATTACCAACCCTCCTGTGTTATCCGGGCTTAGGACCAACAGTAACCTCAGAAGGGTTCCATGTGGAGTTGAACCATTAAACTACTGGATTATATAATAATAGTCGATATTTTAATCACTGGTTCTCATTGTTTTGAAATTCTTGCTTACAATTTAACAAATTACTTGAATTTTTCGTTTGATAGTTATAATTTATTGAGTCATCTTTTTAATAACTGTCTCCTCTTTCTCTATCTAATTTTCTTTTTATTTCTTAGGTTGATAGTCAACGACTTGATTCCACTTTTCCTGTAGTATTATCAGCTTTCCCTCAGCCAAAATCTGTAGCACTTGATTCAGGTAATTAACAATGTTTCATTAATTACTTTTTTTGGTCTGAACAAAATAACAGAAAGTTATTCTGATGATGATTAGTTGAATAAGTCGCATATTATAGTGAGTCTCGAAAAAAGCAGCCTACTTATTATAGTCCTAAATGCCTTGGTATGGCTGAAAGTAGAGAGTATCTGCTCTCCCTCTTAAGATGCTGTTGGGGACGTTAGATCCCCAGAACTCACTTGATAAAGGTACTAATTTTGGATTTCATGTTTTCGAGCATGGGCCGATCGGTTGACCTTGAGGTCACATTTCCCACCCGGGAAGTCCTTGATTGTCACTGGTTGACGTGTTATTTCAGTACACTATTTTTGTGGCTCTCCTAAGGACGTTTCTATGATGTATAAATAAACTGGATTTGTGTGCTTGTGAACCTCATGTTTTCTGGATGGGTGTAGAATACACTTTCTACTTCTTTTCAAGACTTCTTCCTCTAGTTAGTGGGATCTAGGGACGCTTGGGCTAGAGTAGCCTATTGTGTCACTATATCACTGCTTCTCTCTCGTTTACCGACTAAGGTGAACTCGTAATAGTTTCCAACATATCGACTGACTAGCATAACAGATGCTCTCACATGCCCACGAGTGTATAGCCACTACCAGGAAAGCCTTACTCACAGACTCCTCGTGATGGAAGTGTTGTTCACAAAACTGAGAGGATTTAATTTGAATATCCTTTGGGATATAACCCGTGTTGGGGGATACAAAATTTTCAGATAGAGGGGTTATAAACCCTGTTTTAAACCAATGGTTGATTACTAGCTAGCATGTAATTGAATCTCCTGACCTTGCTCGAATGCCTTGTGGGTTCGAGGGAATGGCTCCTAGAAAAATCATTTGCTTCAGTTTGATGACCCAGAGAGTAATTTATCTCACTCATTAATACAATAATGCCTCAAGAACACATGTGCACTATTGGTTTGGAATCAGGGTTTCTTAACTGCCCCAAACAGATCCTCTGTATCTGTTAAGCAGGTTTAAACCTCCACCGGAAATTCGCTTCCCGATTTCGTAAACAACACTTGCGCTACAAGAGGTTAGGGAGCAGGACTTATTTGACAGTGACTAGGCACGCGTTGCCATATTTGGAGAGGGAGAGCGAACTGTCTCCACTCTTGGCCGTATCAGAGCATTCAGGTGAATCACATACATTATAATTCTATCCTGTTTACTACTTATAACATAATCTATTGATATTTTACAGGTATTAAACCATTATTCGAATGTTCAGCAATTATTGGACGTACAGCGAATCCAGGTTCATTTCGATTTAAGTAAGTTTATTATTAATAATATTATAATTATTGTTATTCGTAATTTCTTTATCTAAATATTTATGAGTTATAAATCTTGGAATCAGGACTCTTTAGTAGTGTAGTGTGTTCATGCACCACCATTCTGCATCCTGAGCTTAAACCTAATACTTTTGGTTTCATGCATAAATTCTTAACCTCTAAATCACTGAATCGGAATATTCAGTGATATACAAATCTAGATTCCATCAATTATATTTGTTATCTCAATCTTGATAAAATCATTTAGTAGGAATGATGCACAAGTTAATCAGTTTAAATTTATTTTATGATATAATCAAAGTTCTATACTACTAGTAGCATTCCTTGACTGTTGACTGAGTCTCTCTTGTCGTTCAAATAAGAGGGAATGGTGACATTGAAATCGTCTTCACTTTATTAAACTAACTGAGATTACTTTGTTCACCTAAAATTACGCTTCTGGTCAAAAGAGAGAGGGTGAGCATGATCGTTAAAGAGGTTGAACACAAGGAGAAGAATGGAGAAGTTTCATACCTTCAAAAATTTACTCCTATAAACTGCATAATATACTCGTAAGTTCATTGCTACAGTCGAGACTGAGGAGAGTCTATCTTCCCTCTCCGAATGCTCTCATATAACCACATGTGTATAATCTCTGTCAGATAAAACCTACTCATTAATTTCTCGTGGAACAAGTGTTGTTTACGAAATTTAGAGGACGAAAAGCGAATGTCTGATGAAGTCTTTAACTTGGTTTGTGAATACAAAGGATCAGTCTAGGAGGGAAGTTAAGAGACAGACCGTGGTCTCCAAACCAATAGTGTACATGAATTCCAGGATCCTGAGGGAACCAATGGCGTATAAACCTGATGTTGACGTTCAGTTACCATGCCCCATTGTTTTGTGGATTAAACCAGTAGATGAAAGTTATAGGAAATGATCTCCTAATAAAAAATCTGCTTTGGTTTGTACGGCCTAACAATATCCTCTTCCTACTTACTAATTCAATAATTTGTGGGTATGGTGCCTAACTATTTAGGTGCCTTTCTTTGTGTTCGAATAAATGAAATAAATAAATTGTGCTCCTAATAAGTGGTTAGGACATGTGTTACGTATGCCTAACCACCGACTGCCTCGACGAGCTATGTTTTGTGGTGTAGGAGTAAGTTGGAAGAAAGCTAGGGGCGGCCAGACCAAAACATGGCAGAAATCCATGAAGTCACTGACAAGTGGACTGAGTCATGTTGGTAGATGTAGGCTACCTGGTTGGGGTCCGCGAGACGATAGTCACCAATGGTTAGAGACCTTGGGTGACATGTCTCAAAATCGTTTGCAATGACGCCAGTGCATCCATTCTTTGAGCTCTCTCAAATCCTAATCTTCTGGATTGTTCAGCACCTCTACCTTTGTCTTTCTAACCTTATCTCACTGAATTATACTTCTTAAATAATATCTTCAAACCCTAGTCTTGTTCGTTACCATTAATAACTCTACTATTTTTATCACTATGTGATTTGATTTGACATTTGCGTCTCTGTGCTAATGTGATATAGCAACCTGAACTGATGTTCGCGCGTACGTAGTTCTACGTTGTAACTGACTGACTGACTGTGTATGGACTAGACAGCTATATATTACTCCTTAGATTTTTAAGATTCTCTAACTGACTGTTTATCCATGGTGTTAATGATAGAATCTTGTATTTTAATTAATACTTGTTTATTCCTGTCTCATTTTTAGATATTTCCGTGTTCTAATACAAGAAATGCAGCTGAAACTTGATCAAGGCTTTCTTTATGATATCACTAATTTCTTTGGTTCCACTGTAACACGTACATCTAAGGTTAGTGTTTATCAATAATAAAATTGTGTATATGTGTCTGTGTGTGTGTCTGTGTATCATTTCATTTCATTATCTGTTGTAACAAGTTTACATTCATCGGTTTTAATTTTAATCTACGTGGTTGTTAATCTCACCTAAACTTTATCAACAATGATTGATTGACTGACCAATCCGTAACCAACAAAGTCTATTTTAATCACAAACATGAAAACATTTTAGCGGATAAAATTTTCTTTTTATTTTGATGATATTATTTGCCAAGAGTTGTACAACTGTAATTAATTATAGCGATTTTTTTTACTATAAGTACAGCGAACTATTACGTCATTATTATCAGAGAGAAGAAGAAAAGTCATTGAGAATTTAAAGTTACATAATAGTCAAAGGTGATAATAAGAAACAATATGGAAATGAAATATCAAAGTCTGTCTACTTGATGTTTATAAGGCAAATAAAACTATGAATGATTACATAACATAACATAACGTAACTGTTACGCTTGCACGTAAACACGTCAACTTGATATACTTGAACTATTACGAGTTTACCTAGTCGGAAAACGAGAGCGAGGATCGAGGATCCGGTGACACGACATGCTACTCAAATCCGATTATCCCAACCCCCATATTTAGTTAAAAATAAGAAAACGTGATATGAAGTAGAACATGTATTCTACAAGCACTCAGAAAGTATGAGGTCCGAATCCAGAAGAGAATCAGGATCCCGGACTAGGGATCTGAGACCGGGTCCCGGTCGTGGTCAATAAACGTTACAGATAATGCGTATTTATACATTTTGGTCGAATAGGAAACAGCATCGAAGTGTGTGACATTGACAGTTAAGACGACCAATAGGAAGTAACATTTGAAGTGACATTGATAGTCAGGACAACCAATAAGAAACAACATTGAAGTATCTGACTTGGACAGTTATAACGACCATAATTTGGACCAATGGAAATCGACCAATAGGAATTGACAAATAATTCTTTTAGGATATTGGATGAATATCCTAACAGTAACATAAGCTACAGAATAAAGATCTTTATTATCCTTGATACCCGGAGAATATATTTAAAGAGAGAGAGAGGAAACAAACACTTGTCAAGAAATAACCTATGTATAACGATATCTTTTTGTAAGTTGTTAGTAATGTGACATTGGAAAGAAAATTTCCAGTTATCTTGTCGGTATAAAGAGATTCGACTTTTTTTTATAGTCGGCAGTGGATTATTAGATTCAAATCGATCTCTGATGACGATGATGATGTTAATGTCTAAGATACGCTGTTTTCTGGTCACAATCCATTGAGGTGAATGCTTTCTTCACAAAATAATAACTTTAAAAAAATTTCATAAATGTATACGATTGTATACTTACTTACTTACTTACGCCTTTTACCCCTGATAGAGTATAGGCCGCCTACCAGCATTCTGCAACTAACTCCGTCTTAAGCCTTTCTTTCTACTTCTATCCAAATAATGTTCATTCTGTTCATACCTGCTTCCAATTCTCGACGTAATATGTTCCTTAGTCTTCCTCTTCTCCTTTGGTCTTGAGGATTCCAAGTAAAGGCTTGTCTTGTGATGCAGTTGAATGCTTTCCTCAATATGTGTCCTGTTTACTTTCAGCTCTTCTTCCTCAAGTGTAACCTAGTTTGTTCTCTCTCGAAGTAGGTTGCTGCTGATGATTTCTAAGCAAAGGATCCGCTTTTTTTATCGAGTTGATTTTCTACGGAATAGGATCGCCAACCCCATACCAAACCCTCCTCCTTTATCCGGGTTTGGCACTGGCAAGTAACCTTACAAGATCTCCAGACGAAGTTTTTACAATTGTATACCTTGTTAATAAATTCATTGACAAGAGATCCTTTTCACTGAATTTCATGTATTTAATGTTCAAGTTGGAATTATACCAATAACGTTCAATAAAAAAAATTTATTTATATCTTGTACATTACATATGACATGTATAAATAAAATCTACCCATATACCACCTATTAATTTAAACAATCCAAACATTCTAGGTGGAATGTTTAAAGGTGAGAGAGAGAGAGAGAGAGTATTTGGAATGGTTGCGTTTTTTATCTCATTCAGTCAAGTTCATATTTATTTGACTATTTTACTAATTAATTACATTCTCTTTTTAAATGATCATTTAATTCCCGATTTTTCTTTTATCAATGAAGTTTCTTTTGTGTTGTTTGTTTGTTTTATTACATATAGTTTGATTGATTTGAGTGATATTGTTCTTTTCTTTTCGATTTAAGTTAATCGTTATTATTATTATTATATGTATTTGTTTGATGATGATGACCTTATACGAATGACATGATCCATAAATGATTGTTTCAAAACTGTTTTTTTTTTACATCTGTCTGTCTGTTTATCTATCTATATACTGCTGCTGATTGATTATCATCATTGGTTTGTCAGTGATAAAAATTTTCATCATAGGGTTGTAAAGATTTGTTGAGTTACTTATTGAATTCATGAATCGATCAATCAAACCTTGAGGCACTAAACGGTCGTTTCTTCCTTGGATAAGATTTATCAACAGCGCGCATCCACGACGTCCTCTCGTGGGAATCTAACCTAGTGGTCCAGAGTTTAGACGTTCGTGCGCGAAACCAAAGATCCTAAATTCGACCCCCCCCGAGCACGGGTCGTGGATTTACACTGCCGATGGGTTCTATCCTAGGATGAAACGACCATTGCAAGTCTCCAATGGTTGTCTAGCACTAATCGATTCATGATTTAAATGATAAAGATTTTCATATATCATATCGTTTGTTAATGTTTCTGTCTATATATATATATATAATAAACAGTAATGATTGATTTAGTTTCATTCTATACAAAAACTAATTTTTATTCCGTTTATATAAATTGGTTTTCTAATTGTCTTTCTCCTTTAAAGAAAATAAAAATATATCATTTCACTTATTTCAATTAATCAGTGTTATAAGCACTGTAATAATCTGACACATATGTACCAGCTGAAGTTGCCTATGTCAAATCAATATATCAAAATGATATTATCAAGATGTATTACAGAATGATAGAAAAGTAGTAACAGTATCCAGTGATACTGTAATGAATGAATACGTCAGTTTTATTTGATTTCGTGTGCTGTTACGGTTGTCACTTCCCGGCTGCCCACACCGTGCAACGGTATTTCTTGAGGAACCTGGAAAGGAAGATAGATTAGTGTTGGTCTTAGAGACCTGGGAGCGTGACCGCAGAGTCCAAGGGACAACTGCTTGAGGCCGATCACGAACGGCATTTTTATGAGAAGTTTTTGAAGTGTTAGCTCCGCTTTTGCTTAAGAGGCCTTACCACCGGAGACGGGAATCCGTGAGGTAAGGTGAGATGTGACATTTTTAGGGTTGACCTATTCTAACCCTTCCTTCCTTGTGAGAAGGTAGCATCTCTGCAGATGCTGACTGTCTGAGGGAAACACCTTAATGCTGTCACACCCTCTGCAGTCAGTCAGCAGTATGACTTCGCCGTCAGACGTTGAGTAGCTGTTTTTAGTCTCATGGTTCTCCAATTGACTTGCCTGCCTGGTATGGTAGAACCTTCAAGAGCCTATGTTCCAGCCAATATAGCTCGGTTGGGTCATGACGATAGGCAAGCTCGACCACCACGTTAAGGTAGCATCTACGGTCAGTCAGTTTCATTAAAAACATGTATACACCTTATCTTTAGACTTTCATTTACAAATTAAGTAGACTATTTATTATCTGTCTTTTTCCACATGTAATCTGATCCCCAAATTTCTATGATTGTGCCGTATATTCGGATCTGACGCTCTTCTGTGTGTTCATAACTTCCACACTACATTCCAGTGCATGCTACTTACGAGACATCGCAAGTAGTATCCATCACAACAGAAAAAAATACTACGCATAGATAAGAACGAATAAATTTACAGAGTATAAATATTATTGAAAATAGTTTCCTGAAATTCCAGATCGAAATGTCAACAAACAATGAATACACCTATGCAATAGCGATTGATTCTGAGTCATAGGTTACTCACAATTGATTGAGCAATCCAATCAGTCTTGCCTTTTATTCGCAGATATTTATCACATACACATGAGATCTAAATCGGAAATTATGTTCACCAACATTTTCTGATATTCATCTTTTCTGTTTGTCTGCTTGTTTGTGTGCGCGTGTGTGTATGTGTGTTTATCAGTTTTCATACTTTGCCCATTGTGCATTCATTCCCCCCCCCCCCAATGCATAATAAATAAGTCTTGTTTATTTCATTCTGATCGGATGAGAATGTTATTTGCTTTATGGCTACCATATATTTTTATTTCGTCATCAGCATCATCATCACCATCAGCGTCATGATTCAATCTGTTTTTCTTTTGAATGCCCGCTCGCATATTTTTGAATGAAACATAGCGCTTCAATCTCTTCCATATGATATCGTTATTATTTCACTATGACCTTGTAACATTGATCATTATAAGAAAACAATAATGGTGATTATTATTATTATTATTATTATCACATACCTTCATTGAATTTCTTGCCTTTCACTTTGTTTCATCTTACATCACTATTTCAGGAGGAAGCATTCAAACATGATTATTTATTGATTACTAGTAAACTTATTGATTCACCACTTGTACAAGCTCATCTTCAAGATGGAAATCGATCGATTTTTGATAATTTTCATATTTCACCAATCAAAGTAAGTTTATATCTATGAGTGTGTTTTCCATTTTCGAACATTTTTCTAACATTAATAAACTTTGTCAATGAAATTTGAACTACACTTCTGGTTTACTTGTGAGGTTCACTAGATAAGGATAAATGTTTTTTTTAAGAAAGGATGTAAGTATTAAAACTAAAAAGTAGACACTTGTCAACAATTTAGTGCATTTTTCCAATGATGAACTGTTTAATGAAATGAAGTTGGCATTGATTATGAATGATCATAACTCTTTGGGGTTAAGACTCTTCAACTCTGAGTCAGTCAGTCAGTCATCCAGTCAGTTACAACGTAGAACTTCGTGCGTACATACGTAAATCAATTCAGGTTGCCATACCACAGTTTGATTTTTTTGTGATTAGCATTTTTCTAGTGAGTTTCCTTTTTCGTGAGGTAAGAGTTGTTAATCCAATTACTTAACCCGGGTATAGGAGCTCAGGTAACTCTAGAGAGAGGAGCTCCAAGAGGAGTTAACCCTCCCTTTTCTTTATTAAACGTAGAATGATGTCATCTAACAGAAATCTAAGATTGTGAGAAAAAGTTTAAAAGAATAGTTGGGCAGTTAGAAAAATTAAATGAACTCAGGGTAGTAGTGTTTATGTGTGCTACTCTATGTGTTGTCCTATTTCTTCATACCTTCCTATAGTATACAAAAATCCAATGAAATGACACCAAGAGCGTTGAAATAGTTAACAATACTTCCTCGTGTTACTAATCATCAGAAAATTATCTTTTAGGGGCAACAGTTATTTGTGTATTTTTATGATGAACTAGTTAGATTAATCCCCATTATTCTTCAATAATTCATAATTGAATTAAATCATTTTAGTGAAAACAAAGTTAGACATTAACACCGTTGGATGCCGACCCAGTGGTCCGATGGTGAGGCGTTCGCCTACAATGCCGACGGTCCTGGGTTCGGATCCTGTGAGGAGCAGGAGTTCTGAATGCGCACCGCTAATGAGTCCGCATACCAGGACGAAACGGCCGTCGTTCAGTGCTTCCTGGTTTCTCATGGTGGTTTAACAATGATTGATTGGTGATTTCAATGTGTAAAAACGCAAACCTCCAAAACTCTGCCCCAAAAAACAGAATGTATTAATTTTGAGCTGCTACTCCAATAAGTCAAAATACTAACTAAGTAGTAACTCGAATAGAGTAGATCGGTTAATTTGTCCGAAGGTGTTAGGATATTCACCAAATATCCTAAGAATACTATTTTTAGAACTGCAATCCTATTGGTCGAATTCTATTGGCCGAAATTTTGATCGTTCTTACCGTCAGGGTCAAATACTTCAATGTTACCTCTTATTGGTCATCTGGACGGTCAATGTCATTCAATTGTCCTTTTCTATTGGTCTTCCTAAATTGTCAATGTCACGGACGTTGATGCTTTTTCTCATTCGACCTTAGTGTATAAATACGCGCTATCTGGAAGACTTAATAATTCCGTTTCCCCTGCCTACTTCTTCTGTTTACGACCCAATAAACATCTTCCTGCCACGGTGTTACGTTCTGATTTCTAGGAGATTTGGGAAAGCCTTTGGGTCGTTTTGTGATATTTGAATTGGACGCCGTTAGGACTGAAGAATTACGTAGCCGCGTTTACAACAAATTTGGCGACGGGTTGGTGACTAAATATGGATCCAGCTACATTAGAAAAATTGTTTGCACAGCAGCTGAAGCTGATGGAGATGCTTACTCAGACGCACATCTCTTCTCAAGTCTCATCTACACCAACAATTCCTCAGTCAGTTGATGGTATGACCAGTAGTATTTCTGAGTTTCTGTATGATCCTGATGCCAATATTACATTTGATACTTGGTTCATGCGTTATGAAGATCTTTTCAAAGTTGATTTTGCTGACAAAGATGATTCCTGGAAGGTGCGTCTTCTCCTTCGAAAACTTGGTCCGTCAGAACTGGACAAGTATCGCAACTTCATCCTACCGCAGAACCCGCGTGACCGATCATTCGATGCTACGGTTCAGTCCCTGAGCAAACTTTTTGGGGATCAGCATTCTATTTTCAATACACGTTATCGTTGTTTAAAACTAGTCATGAATGAGTCCGATGACTTCTTGACTCATGTTGGTATTGTCAACCGCGAGTGTGAACGGTTCAAACACAGATCCCTTACTGATGACCAATTCAAATCACTCATATTCATATGCAGTCTACAATCACCCAAATTCTCCGACATCAGAACTCGATTGCTTAACCGCCTCGAACAAGACCCAACACTGACACTCGATGCTATCGCTGATGAGTATCAACGCATCACCAACTTACAGTGTGACACCACTTTGGTTCAGTCTGGGAGCCAGGGTGGTTCCGAAGTTCACATTGTTCAGCAGCAGAACAAATCTTCTAGATCGAAAAGCTTTGGTCGTTCGAATGCCAGTTCTGTTTCTAATCACTCAAAATCAACGCATAAGAAGCCCCCCTCACCATGTTGGCACTGTGGAGACTGGCATTATGTGAAATTTTGTCCATTCAAGCAGCATGTGTGCAATCGCTGTCAGGAAATTGGTCATAAAAGCGGTTTTTGCCAATCAACCCGATTCACTGGCCGGCGAAATTCACAGTCGCAGCGTCGTTATTCCAAAAAGCCGGTTGCTGCATCTAGGAGTTTAGCAGCAGCCTTTCACACCGATGCTTCTACTCGACGCAAATTTCTGACCCTCTCGATCAATGGTCAGCTGGTTCGAATGCAGTTGGATACCGCATCAGATATCACTATTCTGTCAGAAGAGACTTGGCGAACCTTGGGTCAACCACGCATCAAACCATCATCGCAGATAGTTGTCAGTGCCTGTGGGGGTCACCTTCGTCTTCGTGGTAAACTTGATTGCTGTGTTTCGTTCAGAGATACAACCTTCAATGGAACATGCTATATCAACAAGTCTCCTCACAACCTTCTGGGGTTAGATTGGTTCGAAAAACTTGGTCTCGCTGATCTTCCCATCAATACTGTCTGCAATCAAGTAAAAACTCCTGCCGTTATACAACAGCATGCTGCAGATTTTCAAAAACGACTCACTGAACCGCTTCAGCCTGGTTTCGGACTGCAGCCAGTTGCCATGCCTGAAGAAAATGTGATCTCAGATAACTTGCATGTCAAGTCCCAAGATAAAGCAGACTGGGGTGATGGAGCAAAACATGATACAATAAACAGACAAAGATATTCACGTGACTCCATTCTTTCTTGTAAATCTTCAAGCGTCGAAGTGAAGCTAGTAAATGATAAGGATATCAGGAAAAGCCTTCCAAATACCGAAAGACCTCGTGATCAACTAAGGCCAGGGGGAGATAAAGAGAAAGGTAAAATTACGAAGCGCCTCCCACTCTGTTTGCTGTTGGATACTTACCAAGTTCCGCCAATACCTCCACCAGAAACTATCGAGTCATCTACTCAAACAGAACATCCTACAGCTCCAGGGATTTTATCTCCGAGGTGGTCGAAACGCAAGCGAAGAAAATCAAGTAATTTCAAGTAAACCCTCGGCTGGGTCGCTGTTATTTTTTTTCCTTTTTTTTTTTTCCAGAGGGAGGTGTTAGGATATTCACCAAATATCCTAAGAATACTATTTTTAGAACTGCAATCCTATTGGTCGAATTCTATTGGCCGAAATTTTGATCGTTCTTACCGTCAGGGTCAAATACTTCAATGTTACCTCTTATTGGTCATCTGGACGGTCAATGTCATTCAATTGTCCTTTTCTATTGGTCTTCCTAAATTGTCAATGTCACGGACGTTGATGCTTTTTCTCATTCGACCTTAGTGTATAAATACGCGCTATCTGGAAGACTTAATAATTCCGTTTCCCCTGCCTACTTCTTCTGTTTACGACCCAATAAACATCTTCCTGCCACGGTGTTACGTTCTGATTTCTAGGAGATTTGGGAAAGCCTTTGGGTCGTTTTGTGATATTTGAATTGGACGCCGTTAGGACTGAAGATTTACGTAGCCGCGTTTACAACAGAAGGCTTGGGACAAATCCTATGGACTCTATTCAAAAATATTTTGCACTACAAGTATTACAAAACAACACAACCAAATAATTTAGCCAACAAAGTAAATGAGCACTTCCGTTCATAGTTGGTACAAAAGTATATACAAAGACAAATCTTATACCTTCTATTTCTCCTTATGACATTCCTTCTTATCTGGCGATTCAAGTTAACAATTCAAGTATTTGTATTCATAAGAAATGCATAAGTCCTATATATATATATATATATATATATATATATATATATATATATATATCTTGATATTAACCTGTTATACATGCTAATCATTTTGTTTGTTGCACTTATCTTTTATTTCACAAGGTACATGTTAGCTTTTCACTCACTGGTAGTACCGAAGGAAAATCATCAGCTTTTCCAAGTGAAGTACTTAATCTTTTCTTACAATCTCTTGGTGTAGCATTAACTGAAGTACAAGATGTGGTTTTCAAGTAAGTCAGCGTAGAGTAGTTGCAATAGTATCTTTTTTTAAAAAAAAATTTATATTACATTGCTTAGTTAGAGTTTTGTGGGAATTGGTTGATTGTATTCACCTAACCAAAACATGACTTAGATCCATGAAGCCATTGACAACTGAACTGAGTCATGTTGGTAAGTGTAGACTAGCTGGTCGGAGTCTGCGAGACGAGTCACCGATGGTTAGAGACCTTGAATGACATGGTTCAAAATCGTTTGCAATGGCGCAGATGCATCCATTCTTTGTCTTTTCTATTTCTAAAGTTATCTCACTGAACTATACTTCTTGAATCATATCTTCGATTCCTGATATTCTCCATTACTAGTAGTTCTTCTACTATCTCCACCACTATGGGATTTGAACTGACAGTGGCGCCTCTGTACTAAATCGGTATGGCAACCTGAACTTATGATGTGTGTACGTACGAAGTTATACGTTGTAACCGACTGACTGAATGACAAATGGGCACCGTAATATTTACCCGTCACACAAGTCATCGAGATGCTATCCGGCTGCCGAAACCAGAACAGGCAGTTTTCCTCTGGTACTACTCAGTGAGCCTTTTTCCTAAAAGTTTGATCTACAAGGCAGTGGAGCAACGCTACGAAGTGTGGTCTCATGGTAGCCAGTGACTTATACTAGGTTCAGGATCCTAAAGCTCATGTGTAATTAGTTTAGAATCAGAGTTGTCTAGCTCCTCTAAGTGAATTCTCCCTACGTACCAACCGATTTAGAGACTTTGAATGACATGGTTCAAAATCATTTGTAATAGCACAGGTAAGTAAGTAACTGACCTGTCCAGTTTTTAAACCTACGTTGGCTACATGCTTTTCATCTCTAAATTGTGCATTCATATACTCGGATTTTAATCAAAATTAAGTTTATCATCCATCTTTATCCGAAATATGATATTGTCAACAATTTGTAGTATGTATTTGATTTCAATGTTCAACGCTGTTAAATTTTATCTGATCACAATGATGAACTAAATGAAGTAGAATAGATTTGATCACTTTTCAAATTTCATCATCATCATCAAATAACATTTTTAACATCAATTTCATTCTTTTTCATTGATTCATTCATTCATTCTTTTCCTTTTAGATTAGATTATTTTGAACGTCAAGCATGTATTATGACCCTAAGCCAGATGAGTACAGAAATTACACATCATTATGTTGGTCAAGGTGTTAGACAAATGTATGTACTAGTTTTAGGATTAGATGTATTGGGTAATCCATTCGGTGTACTACGTGGTTTAGCTCAAGGTGTTGAAGATTTATTTTATGAACCAGTGAAAGTATGTTTTTTTACTTTGTTGAGTTGTTTTACTGATTATTGAATTGATTGGTTTGTATTTTCCTACTTAAATGCACTATATATATATTTTTTATTACAGGGTGCTATTCTTGGTCCAGAAGAATTTGCTGAAGGTGTTACACTAGGTGTACGAAGTTTATTTGGTCATGCTGTTGGTATGTCAAAGTTATGGTTAATTTTTTTTATTCAGTTTATCATCAATTATTTGACATTCATTTTATTTATGGTTTACTTGATGAACAGATATTAATTCACGATCATAGCTGCTACCTTAACGTGGTGATCGAGCTTGCCTATGTTGATCACCCAACCGAGCTATATTGTCTGAATAACATATTCCTTCAGATACTATAATACCAGGCAGATCGATTGGGTAACGATAAGGCTAAAAGCAGCTACTCAAGGTCCGAGGCAGAAGTCGTACTGCTGACTGCAGGGGGCTGTGACAGCAGTAAGATGTTTCACTCGGACAACCAGCATCTGCAGCGATGCTGCCTTCTTACACGGAAAGAAGGGGTTAGAAAAGGTCGACCCTAAAAACGTCACATCTCACTTTACCCTACAGATTTCCTTCTCCGGTAGTAAGGCCTTTTTAAAGAGTGAAGCTAACACTTCAAAATCTCCCCATAAAAATGCCGTGCGTGACTGACCTCTAGTAGTTGACCCTTGGGCCCTGTGGTCATGCCTCCAGGTCGCTGAGACTAACACTTACCAGTTACCCAACTCTCTTTCCAGGTTCGTCAAGAAACTCTCCTACTGTGTTGGCGACCGGGAAGTGACATCCACCTTCATACCCCTAAAAGCATACAAAACTGACTGACTGATATTAAGTAGACAATCTTTGAGAACTCGGAAACATTGGATAGTCACTTTGTCCCTTTATGTGACTCTTTGTCAGTGAACTTTCATGGTCCGATGGGAGATCAAACTCAGGATCTTTAGATCTCGTGGTAAGCACTTTAACCTTAATCGTGAGAGTTTGCATGTGTAGTATCAATCAATCAACAACGCTGGACAGCCACTATCCATTTTTGTCTCTGGGTAACTGTTATTAGCAGGAACAGAGATTGGAAGGATGATAACTCCATAGACTTGTAAATTATTACATATATTCTTAATGTATAATAATTAAGTAACTAAATTATTCCTTTTATCATAAGCTTACGTTTTCCAATTTTACAGTCTTTCCTATTCACAATCACTTTTTGGCTTCAGTCAGTCAGTCAGTCAGTTGCAACGTAGAACTTCGTACGTATGTACATCAGTTCACGTCGTCATACCACATTAGCGGAGAGATCCAATTTTCGATTCAAATCCCATAGTGTTATAGGTAGTAAAGTATCGGCGGAAATGGAGAAGATTAGGGTTCGAAGATGTTATTCGAGAAGTATAATTCAGTGAGATAAGTTTAGAAAGAGAAAGACGAAGTTGATGAGGAATTCAGAAGATTAGAATTTGAGAGAACACAAAGAATGGGTGCACTTGTACCGTTGCAAACGATTCTGGACCATGTCGTTCGCTTTTTAGCTTGTCCTTGTTTGGTCGTTATTTTTTTTAATTGTTGTGTAACACGGTCATGGTCTGCTTGTATATAAACAATATCCATCTGACTTCTGGATTCAAAGACCTGGCATAACAAATCTAGACAATTGTGAACCAATAGAAATCTAGCAGCCGTCGACTCAAAGTTTTCAGCATTGAAATGTATGCTGATTATTGTTATTTTTTGTCACGTGAATTTAGCCAAAGGTCAAAAGCCCTAATATTAACTGTCTCACGTTTGGCATAGTTGAATTCCGCTGGTCATATAGTTCCTCGTTTGAGAAATCGAAGAATTACATTTCAAACTAACCTGATTATTTTTTTAAAATTTACTGTTCTACGAATATATATAGATTTCAATGAACGAAGTTATTCGATATAGTATTTTCAATACATTCATTATACGCACAAAGTGTTGTAAATGTGAGGAGATCAATTAATTTTTATTAACGCACAAAAGTCTCGTGAAATGACATGGCTCCAAATCGTTTGCAATGGCTCAGATGCATCCATGCGTATTCTACTCTTGTGAATTTCTCATTACCGTTTTTCCTCTTTTTAAATTCGCCTCATTAGATTGTGGGGCAGAGTTTTGAATGTTTGCGTTCGAATCGTGCGAGGAGCAGGAGTCGTGGATGCGCACTGCCACTGATGAGTCCCATACCAGGACAAAACGGCCGTCCAGTGCTTCCAGGTTTCTAATGGTGGTCTAACAATGATTGATTGATGATTTCATTAGATTGTACTTCTTGATTAATATATATTCGAACCCTAATCTTCTCCATTACCGCTAATACTTCTACTGCCTCCACTACTATTGGATTCAGATTGATAATGTTGTCTCTGTGTTAGTATGATATTGCAACTTGAACTGGTGTACGTACGTAAGAAGTTCGACGTTGCAGCTGACTAACTGATTGGAAACAAGTAATTTTCAGTATGATTTATTGAAATCCTTTACTAATCCACCTCTTCTTCTACTCCTCCTCATTTTTAAGGTGGGGCAGCTGGTGCAGTTTCACGTATAACTGGTACAATCGGTAAAGGTATCGCAGCTCTAACCCTCGATGAAGATTATAAACGTAAACGTCGTGAACAATTAGCACGACGTCCTGAAACATTTGGCGCTGGTCTTGCTCAAGGTGGTCGAGGTTTATTTATGGTAAGTCAGTATGGGTCTACCAAACTTTTAATGTGTTTATGTATGTTTTTTTCTTATTCAAAAAAAATCACTTGCCGATGAGTATTTTTTTTTCCTCTTTTGTAATTTCTTAGGGTGTATTTCATGGTGTTACTGGTATGGTGACAAAACCTGTTGAAGGTGCTAAAAAAGAAGGAGTTGAAGGTTTTTTCAAAGGTATGCATATTTCAGTGAATAATTTAAATGTATCAGTATAGAGTTATGGAGATTGTTGAATTCCATTTAAAATCATGAATCGTTGAATGTTAGACTACTTTCGAGAACCTGAAAATACTACTGAAGAGTCTCACACTTGGACGAAACGGCTATCCAGTGCTCACAGGTTTTCAATGTTGCTCTAACATTGATCGGTTCATGATCATCTGGACTAATTAATTTGATTGGTATAGCTAATCATTATTCTTGAATTACTCATATTAATTAACTGATGGTTGGTGTTGGTGTTGGATGCTGTTTACTTTCTCTCTCTCTCTCTCTCTTGAGCTCACCCTTACTGCTCAAACTGATGAAGATCGAACTAGTCTCTGTCATTCTTTCGTAAATATCGACTACCTGAAAAATTTGAAGTAAAAATGTATGCGTTATGCAGTAGAGAAGTGGATAAATAAATCATTCCTTTAGCTTCTTGACTGGATTATCTTTAGGATGATGGCCCAACAGGTCTGGTACAAACTAGGGCGATAACTATTAACTATCCTGTAACCAGTGGACAGAGATTGACACTTAACTTTCTGTGGTATGAGTGTGAATAAGCAGATCATTAATAGACAACTTTAATTCAATGATTTAAAAACCAGGTACTTCATTCATTTCTGATTGCTACTGAATTCTAATCTGCTGCACCAAAATCAAATCATATCCATACCTATGTATTTACCATGAAATGTACAGGCTACATCTCATTGCAATTATATCCAAATGACAACTTCCTTATAGGATGAAGCATTGCTCGCATATCCTGGGACACGCGAGTGAGCAACGCTGTTATTAGGAAACGGGTGCTAGGTAAGAATGGCAGATCAATAGATGAAGTTATGAAACTTCATCAGTTGAGGTGGTTTGGACATGTGTTGCGTATGCTTAACCACCGACTGCCTCAAAGAGCATTGTTTTGTGGTGTAGGAGTAGGTTGGAAGAACGTTAGGGGCGGCCAGATCAAAACATGGCAGCGATCCATGAAGTCACTGACAAGTGGACTGAGTCTTATCGGTAGGTGTCGACTACCTGGTTGGGGTCCGCGAGATAATAATGATCGATGGTTAGAGACTCTGGATGGCACGGCTCAAAATCGTTCGCAATGGCGCCGGTGCATTTATTTTGTGTGTTCTCTCAAATCCTAATCTTCTGGATTCTTCAACCCCTCTAGTTTTGTCTTTCTAACCGTATCTCACTGAATCATACTTTTTTAATAATATCTTCCAATCCTAACCTCCCCGATTACTTCTAATACCTTTACTACCTCTTCTACTATTGGATTTGAATTGACAATTACATCTCTGTGTATGCTAATGTGGTATGGCAACATCAACTGATGTACATACGTACGAAGTTCTACGTTGCATCTGAATGACTGACTATAGGACGAAACGTTCACATTGGAATCCACTAATACTCATCACCATCATCATTTAAACATTGTTTTAAAAATGAATATAAATATTCATGAAATCGTTATATTTCATGTTACTTTCTGGTTGGCAAGTTGGTTTTCTTCGGGATAGGGGGTCGCTAACCTTCATGCTCAACCATTCCTCTTTGGGTTTAAGACTGGTAGTAACCCAGAAGGACTCTAGGCGGAGTTTCATGTTTCATGTAGATTTCGCATAAAAATCTTTCAATCTTCATATATCCTGAGATTGCACTAATTCTTAACTAATAATGAATAAATCTATTGTATATTACATTTGTACATTACCTCTTGAATGATATATTCGATCAAATATCTTTTTTGATTACTGCTGATACTACTATGGGATTTGAATTGATACTGGCGTCTCTGTACTAATGTGGTATGGCAATCCGAACTGATATACGTATATACGTACGAAGTTCCACGTTGTGGTTGACTGACTCACTGATTGATATTACATTCTTTATGGTACTATACTATCACTTTTATTGTATAATCACATCTGTTAGCGGGATGTAGATGGGATTAAAGCATGAATGAATCCGTTAGCTGCACGTTGATTGGTCAATTCCTATCCAATCAGCGCTAGTCAATAATTGGAGAACATTCTAGAAGCTTCTCAAACTGTAAAGATACTAACATTGTTCCTATTTCGCCGCTCGCTTCGGCTTCTCACTTCCATTTAACCTTGCTATTTGGAATATAATCTGTTCCCTGTTCAACTGTGTTCTAATTTGAAGACTTGTCGAGTGGATTGGTGTCCGAAAATATTAAGTAATAGGAATAGTTGGGTTGGATTAACAGGGAATCGTAAC